TTGTGCACACACAGTACGCACACAGGCCAGCACGCATGCACAAGCTTCACCCGTGCACATACACATACACTTCCATACCACACACAAAGGGAGAGGTAGCTGGCCTTGCTAGCGGCTGCCCCACCCCCTGCTTGTGTAATTTCCCTTCCTGGCAGCAGGTCTGGAAGAATCTTAGCAGTGCAAATTAAGAGTTAGGGTGGGGAGAGGATTGGGGGTTGGGCAGAAGGGCATTGATGTTCACGCTCCTTTGCTGTCAGCTGGCTTCATCCACGGGGAAGTGGGGCGCCTTTCCAGAGGGGTCTAGCAAGCTTCCTGGGCCTCCTTTTCCTTCTCTGCAGAGTCGGGGTGGTCGTGATCATGACAGTTCCTCTTAGGGGCAGAGGTGAGATCCAGGGCTGTGATGGGTCTGAAAGAGCTATTATCATCATGGGTATTGTCTGTGAGGACCTGGAGCTGCAGGCTCAAAAGCTGCAGGCTTGAGACAGCTGAGTTCAGCCCCCAGGCCTGCTGTTCACTAGCTGTGTGACCGGGTTACTGGCCTCAACACCTACATCTGAACCAGGGAGCAAGGTAGCACCCACTTGCTCTATTCATGCATGGAAAGCATTTGGAATGGCACCTGGCAGTTTGTAAGCACTCAAAAACCGTGACTTCTTATTGCCACAGAGGTGACTGTGAGCTTGGGAGGTGTTACCCAGGCCTTTCACGGCCTCCTCACTCCTCCTGGATGGGGAGTGGCTCTCAGGAGTTGGGCCAGACCCCAGGTACCCCCTGCAGGTGCACAGACAGGCTGTGGAGGGAGACAGCTCAGAGGGTCCAGAGGGGCCAGGGCTGTTGTTAATGTAAGGTCGTGTCGATTTCAGCGACTACCCCAGGCCCGCCACGTGCACTCAGGCACCACATTTGGTTGATCCCACCTCCTTGGTATTTCAGTAACATCCTCTCCCCACCATCCTGCCCACGTCACTGCCCTACTTCAGCCCAGGTGACCATTGCCTCTCACCTGCTCTAACCTTTCCTCTGCTCAGTAGTCAGAGGAAAATCTGAAAATTAAATCTGTTCCTCTATCTCCCCTGCTTTATTTATTATAATTATTATTAATTATTTTTGAGACAGAGTGTCACTCTGTTCCCTAGGATGGAGTGCAGTGGTGCTCACTGCAACCTCTGCCTCCCAGGTTCAAGTGATTCTCCTGCCTCAGCCTCCAGAGTAGCTGGGACTACAGGCACGCACTGCCACACCTGGCTAATTTTTGTATTTTCAGTAGAGACGGGGTTTCACCATGTTGGCCAGGCTGGTCTCAAACTCCTGACCTCAAGTGATCCACCTGCCTCAGCCTCCCAAAGTGCTGGGATTACAGGCATGAACACGCCCAGCCTCTCCCCTGCTTTAATTTCTCCAGTAGCTCCCCACTGCCCTCAGAGTTCGGGTACCTGAGACGATCTGGGTCCTGCCTCCTTCTCTGTGGCCATTCCAAGCACAGGCAGCCACTTGCCATCTCCATGGGCCAGACTTGCATAGGCTGTATGAGTCAGGATGGGTCGCTGTGCTCCGTGACAAAGAACCCCTTATCTCACGGTTCACTCTAGAAGTGTATTTCTCTGTTGCACTGTAAGTCAGTAGAAGAAAGTGCTCTGCTACACACGCTTCCTGAGGGACCAACCACCTTATGGCCGCACCATCTGAAACATGCACTCTTCTCATCCCTTCGGCCAAGGACGAGAGTCCTCGAGGGTCACTGGCAGGTTTCATGTGCTTTGGCCTGGAAGTGACACACATCACTGCCTCCCATGATCCATTGTCTAATGGGTCATGGGAGGCAGTGATGTGTGCTATGGCTGCCTGACTGCAAGGGGCCTGGATATGAGGGGAGCAATGGGATGTCTGGTGAGCATCACCAGCTGCCACAGACAGGTGCACTCCCACCACCCCTAGCCATTGCTCAAGGTGAGGCAAGGATGGGGGGCCTGGAGCGGAGCCTGCTGATTTGCTCCTCGCTTTCCCACCCCCAGCCCAGGCCCAAGGCGGCTCCTCCGCTGCCACCAAGTTGCCAAGACCCTAGGGAGGTCATTTGTCCTTGTTGTTCCTTTCCAAGGGGACCCCCAGTACCCATTTCTCTCAAAACTCACTATAGAGAAAAGATGTACTGCTCCTTAGCAACTTGTGGCTTTTATCTTATAGACATCACATAAATCCCTTTCTGATTCTGTTTTCCTTGTTGAATTGGCCACTAGGAAGCTCAGACCCAAATCTAAGGTCTACCTCCTCTGTGTGGTGGACCTGGCAGCACACCTAACTTAACTCCTCCTGCATTTCAGGTGATCTCTTTTTACCTGCGTTTTCCTTGTGTCCCTATTTTTTCTCTTGTAGCTTTTTCAGTTCCTTCTATCTTGTGTTCTATTTCTGTGAGTCTTCTTAAATCCTTTCTGGAATCACATGGGCATTAATTAGTCAGTCCATCCCTACATTCTGTGCAGCTTCCTGTAGCTCTGGCAAGAGCAGCCCCGGTTTAGGGCAAAGCTCCCAAAAGGAGAGTTGGAATTTCTGAGCTTTGCAGGATACACAAGCCCCTGCAAGGTTGACCTGCTACCTGGTTCTGTCTAAAGGGCTTGCCTCAGGGGTCAGGCCCTGATCGCTGTGACCTGCCTGAGGTCACACAATGTAATCTTGTGCTGAGGACCTGAGGGCAGAGAAGAGCCTCATGGGTCAGCTGTGTGGGCGGGGTGAGTACATTCTTTGTCTTGACCAGTGTGGGCCCAGCCAAACCTGCCTTCCCACAAGTAGGGAAGGTGGGGGCCCAAGGGAGGTAGACACTGTGCTGGATACTCCTGGAGCAGAGCCTTCTCCGAGGAAGTGCCAAGCCAGCAGAGAAAATGAGAACTGGCCCTGAACCCCAAATCGGGCTAGACAGTGTCAAGGGCTAAGGGCAAGGGGAGAGATGGCTGTCAGGGAACAGAGGAGAGCAAGATCTCTGCTACTTGGGGTATCAAGGAGGACTCTCTGGAGGAAGTGGCTTGGGAGCTAGGGAAGGGGTGGATTGGGATTTGTGGAGACGGGAACAGGAGGTAGGGGGATTGGAAAGGCAAGCCAAGCAGCAGGAGAGGGAAGGGCAAAGAGCCAGAGGGCTGGAGATGCAAGAGCAGGTGCTGAGGAAGCTGGAAGGTGCCATTTAGAAGAGCTAGAAGAAATGAATCTTGGAATATGGAATGAGACCCCAGCCAGAGGTCTTGAATGCCAGGCCAGAGGATTTGGCCTTGATCCTGTAGGGCAGCAATGAATGGGGAGCATCAAAGGGTGATGTGAGGCCAGGGGCAGTGGCTCACGCCTTTAATCCCAACCTTTGAGAGGCAGCTACAGGAGAATTGCTTGAGATCAGGAGGTTGAGACCAGCCTGGGCAACATGGCAAGAAAAAAATTTTTTTTTAATTAGCCAGGTATGGTGGCATGTACCTGTAGTCCTAGCTACTTGGGAGGCTGAGGCAGGAGGATCTTTGAGGTCAGGAGTTTGAGGCTGCAGTGAGCTGTGATCACACCACTGCTCTCCAGCCTGGGTGACAGAGCGAGATCCTTCCTCAAAAATAATAATAAATCAAGGGTGATATGAGGCGGGGGTGGGGTGGGCAGGGCTTGGTATTCAGAAGGGTCCCTCTGGCCAAGAGGAGGCCCCCTGGTGTTATGGGTATGGGGTTGGCCACAGAAGAGGCCTAGACCCTATCACAGGCCACTCGTGATCTGGCTCTCCTTGCCCTGTCTTTTATTCTTTTCATTCACATTACCCAATATACATGGGGTGTGTGTGGGTGTGGGTGCGCGCGTGCGTGTGTGTGTTTTCTTCTTTTAAATTTCTCTTTGATAATCTTACTAAACCATGTGTGGTTTCCCCAAACTGTTCTGTCTGCCTAAGACACCTTCCCCCAGCTCTCCCTCATCCTGCCTACGTGACCAACTCCTACTCATCCTCCAAGTCACAGCTTAGTTGTCACTTCCTCTGAGAAGCCCTCCCTGACTGTCATGTGCAAATCTCTGTTATTACACATAGTACGGTGGGTCCCAGTGGCCCAGACTCTCCTAGTAGCCTCACCCAGAGGACTCTTCACTCCTGTAAAGGCTGGGCTCAGGCCTACTGTTTCCAAACTACCTGGTACCTGGCACAGGGCCTAGACACACATGATGCTCGGTAAATATTGAGTGAACAAATATAAGGCTGGATGAGGAGCAAAGCAAGCTGAAGACGCCCAGATGATACTAGTGGTTGTGATTGCCACTGTTGATCAAGTATCTGCCATGCACCAAGGGGTCTAAATACAACATCTAACTTAATCCTTATGACAAGGCTATGAGACAGATACTTTTTCAGTCTCTCTCTCTTTTATTTTTTTTAGAGACAGGGTCTCACTGTGTTGCCCAGGCTAGTTTTGAACTCCTGGGCTCAAACAATCCTCCTGCTTTGGCCTCCCAAAATTCTAGGATTACAGGCATGAGCCACCATGCCTAGCTGAGACAGATACTTTTGTGACCTCATTTTACAGATGGAGAAACTGAGACTCCAGAGGTGAAGTCACTTGCCATCCAGCTGATAAGAGACAGAGCTGGGATTGAAACCCAGACAGGCTGGCTCCAGAGAGAGCAGTGGTACCTACTTAGTTGGGCTGAGGGTGCTGAGCTGTCTGGTGAGATGGCAGATGGGGGTCAATGTGGTGGATTCTCTCTGTGGTTTTTCTGCCTTTTTACATTCACACTCAAAGGGATGAAAAGCCTTAACACATCAGCAAGCAGGTCAGTGATAGCTATACATCATCCCGTCTTATCTCACCAGGTCTATAGAAATAACAGTAATTAGAGTATTTTCACTTGGTCACCCTTCACAGTGCATCACTGTCCACGTTGAACTGACCACTGTCCTGCTTGTATCCTCTTATGTACTCTTAAGACGAGAGCTCCGTGTGTCCCATGATCAGGGCAGGGAGCCTCATACCCTTTGTCCCATTTGTCTCTTGCAGATGTCATGGCACCCCCAGTACCGGAGCTCCAAGTTCCGTCATGTCTTTGGCAAACCAGCCAGCAAGGAGAACTGCTATGACTCCGTGCCTATTACCCGCAGCGTTCACGACAACCACTTCTGTGCCGTGAACCCCCACTTCATTGCAGTTGTGACTGAGTGTGCTGGTGGAGGGGCCTTCCTCGTCATCCCCCTGCACCAGGTAAGGACACCCCCAGGCCCAAACAGCTCTCTGGAGCCAGGGCGGGACAGAGGGAAAGTGGAAAGAACCTAGCTTTCTAGAAAGTCCTAACCCTGCCCATTACTAGCTGTGTGACCTTGAGTAAGTCATTTCATCTCTTTGAGCCTTGGTATCCTCACTGGGAAAAATACATCTGTCCTGAATTTTAGCCTCTAGCAGTTGGCCTAGCTACTCCTAGCACCTCTCCTCTTCTCTACAAAATAATTCTGCAAATTAATTTCCTCCTGAATAAAATATAATTTTTTAATGCTTTACTGGGATTACAGGAAATTGAGAAAGTCTCCAAAGCCACCTTCCCCACCAAAGAAAGGGAAACAAACATTGAGTCAAAACTAGCTAGGAGAGGCAAACAGTAAGCAAGCAGGAAGAACAGGCTTGTCCTGAGGGCAAGAGTTGCTAGTATAGGTTGGACGATATAAAATTGTGGATATTCAACTGGTTTTGACCCCAAAAAAGCAACAGTTTCACATAGGTCAATCTAACAGCAAGTCCATTCAGGATGCCAACCCTAAGTCTCTACCTTAAGGCAGAACACCTGAAGGGGCTAGAGGGATCCCAGCTTAGTAGTGCCACTGGCTCACAGCAGAAACCGACATGAAACCTCTCCAGAGGAAAGGATCCACAACATGGACATGATCCCCACAGATTAAACACAGGGAAATGTGAATTCACAAAGATCACAAAACATGTACACCACCATGAGTGAGAGTCAGTTGAAACAACAAATAGCAGACTTAGACCCCCAGAGGACTTCAGAAGTTAAAAGATTATACAGGATTAGAATCTCATAGACCAGGTTTCCTGAACACAATGCAATTGAGTTAGAAATCAATAACAAAAGATAAATCTTACATTCCCATTCATTTGGAAACTTAAAAACATATTTCTAAATAATTTATATGCCAAAAACAAAATCTAAATGAAAATTTAAAAATCCTTGGAACTGATAAAATGAAATATATCACAACACTTATGAGATGTAGGGAAAGCGGGGCTTTAAGGGAAATTTATAGCACAAATGCTTATATTAGAAAAGAAGAAAGCCTAAAAAGTAATGACTAAACATTCCATCTAAGAAGTTAGAGCCGGGTACGGTGGCTCACACCTGTAATCCCAGCACTTTGGAAGGGCAAGGCCAGGGGATTACTTGAGCCCAAGTGTTTGAGACCAGCCTGGGCAACATGGTGAAACCCCATCTGTACAAAAATACAAAAATTAGCTGGGCATGGGGTCATTTGCCTGTGGTCCCAGCTACTCAGGAGGCTGAGGTGAGATCACCTGAGCCCAGGGAGGTTGTGAGCCATGATTACAACACTGTACTCCAGCCTGGGCAACAGAGTGAGACCCTGTCTCAAAAAAAAAAAAAAAAA